ATAACTTCGTTAGTATTCTATTATCCTGCATGCATAACATAAATGTAACGTAAATCAAATTCGATGACGAGGAACCCACTTTGAGACTAATAATGGCTGGAGACGGCTTAAATGGGTAATGAAGAAAAACTTTAATACAAGTTTAACATGACAGCAAATGTACAACGTTTCGACAAGGTTTTGTCATCATCACCTGATGATGAAAAAACCTTGTCGAAACGTTGTACATTTGCTGTCATGTTAAACTTGTATTAAAGTTTTTCTTCATTACCCATTTAAGCCGTCTCCAGCCATTATTAGTCTCAAAGTGGGTTCCTCGTCATCGAATTTGATTTACGTTACATTTATGTTATGCATGCAGGATAATAGAATACTAACGAAGTTATCAAACAATAGTTGAGTACGGTCTAAAATCTGTTGTTTTTGATAAGATTCTGTGTAATATCATTTGTAAATTATAACCTGTATTATTACGTTACATTTATGTTATGCATGCAGGATAATAGAATACTATCGAAGTTATCAAACAAAAGTTGAGTACGGTCTAAAATCTGTTGTTTTTGATAAGATTCTGTGTAATATCATTTGTAAATTATAACCTGTATTCTCCTTTAATTACTTCCAAATTATTCCTGCAAGCAACACATACACGGAAATATATCAATGATTAACTAATAATCAAAGAAAATCTGTTGTATTCTATGCATAGGAAAAATCTTTAAATTCGTGAGGTTTACCTGATTTACCAGTCCCATCTTTACCAAAAACCACAACATTTACTGTATGGACATCTTCGTGGACTTGTGTGGGGGACACAGGGACCGGAAGAGTATCGCCACTATTGGATGTCGGATCTTCATCGCAGGTATTAGGAAGTGTTGACATGGCAACGGGTTTGTTTTCTTCTGAAGTAGTATCCATTCACCAAAGATAACGTCGCACCAGGTTTCAACTGATAAGGCCGTTTGTGTCACGTAGAACTTCCGAATCTAAATGTTAGTTGGAGATGTTAAGCAGCCTAATTTTGGAAATGTGCCAGTGTTAGATAATCAAGGTGTTCTTTCCTTACGGCAGATCTGATACATCAAATACAGATTTAGTCTCCGAACTAACGGTGGACATAACTAACGGCGAAAACCCCAAATTCCGAGTGGCTCATCATGATGGCAGATCTTTGTAACATTCGACGGTTACACAAACAAATAGTGTCCTGTGAGCCTTTATGAACGAGCGTGGCATTCGCCTACCAGCTATGTATAGTCCGGACTAGGCTGGGAGTTTCACACTCACCCCTCCCCTCTTTCCCAGCATATCTTCCTTACGTCAGCAAAAACAAAGAATGTTAGTCGAACAACCATGAGTTCAAAGACACTGTTGTTAGCTTTAATTAAACCCATTCTCAGTTCTTTTCATGATCAGATGTCAGAGGGGCGTATTAAATATCCAAAGGGTTAGTTGAAAACTGTGATACAGTTTCAAACCATTATGCTCCATCTTATCCACGTCCATTTTTGTTCTTGTTTGTTTTTGTATTTTTTTGCAATGAACGTCACTGTTTACAGACAGACATGTAAATCGTTAGTGACATGTTATGAAAGCGTTTATGTTTTAATCAGTAGAACCGCATGTATATCGTTGATTGCTGGAAAATATTTTACAGTGGAGTATATATCTGAACAACCGAGATTTCAAGGATTGTGTAATGAAGTTATACAACACTGTGAGTTTTTTTAAGCTTCCCAGTGGCACAGCGGTATGTCTGCGAACTTACAACGCTAGAATCCTGGTTTCGATACTCGTGCTGGGCAGTGCACAGTTAGCCCATTGTATAGCTTTGTGCTTAATTACAAATAAATTTTTTTTTAAATGGGGGTTAATTTAAAGCATTTTGATCCTGTCTTTATTGATTTTTCGAATCAAATTCCAGCAAACTCTATTGCTACCAAATTTATGTTATAATGTGTTCGGATTTAAAGATAATGTTTCTATCACACTGATAGGTTAATGTTAAATAATATTAAATATTTTGTTGCATCTCAACGTTTATGGCCATAAATGAAAGGTATATTTGGAATTACCCTAAATACTGGATTTAAAATCATTAATTTTGCTGATAAGGCATAATAAATGAAATAAGTTTGTTGTTTTTTTTTGTAATTATACCGCTGTGCCACTGAGGGGCATGAAATAAGTATACTATAACATTAAGCAAATACTAAACCATATAAATGAATTCTTTATTGAATTGCGCGTAAAGTTGCTCGATGGATATCTGCGCTAGCCTTTTCTAATTTTGAAGTGATAGACTAGAGGAAAGGTAGTTAGTTGGGTTACTCTTTTACCAACGAAAAGTGGAATTGACCATCACATTATAACTCCCTCACGGTTGAAACGAACCCGCGGGATTCGAACTCGCAGGTTGCCAGTCAAGCGCCTTAACCACCAGGCCATAGCAGGATATAGCGAATGAATAAAATTCTACAGAAAGCCTATGATATAAAGTTGCTAAAGAGCATAATTCTCTTGGGTCTTCACAATGAAGACAGAAAAATAACTTTAAAAGTTTACCAGATAAATATTAGCTTGCATCATCGGTGTGAGATAATACCTCAGTTTACGTATCAAGCCATAATGTACCTACTTCATAACCTAATGAATCATTTGAACGTTAACTTTCCTTACAAAGATATATCGTTACTTGCATATACTAACACACGATACAACAAACATTAATCGAAGCACATACAATCGAAGTTTTTCAGTTGTACACTACCTAACATTTACCAGTAACATATAAACAACCACAGTGTATATTTAAATCATTTACAAACACTTACACGCATCATATAAAAGCCAGGAAATACAAAGTAGGTACCAGTAATTACCAGACGTGGTAGAGATAGATAATTAGTTGTATAGCAATAAAACAGACACGAACCACCAAGTGGTAATCACAAATAACAAATACAACCACAAAATACATTTCCAAGATCCACGATATTAATATATTCTACTGTCCTTCCGTTACTCTTTGTGGCTAGCATTTCACAGGAAGTCTTGTTTATTTCTTTGGCAAAGCTACTAAGACTAAGGCTATTTGCTGCAGTCCTTAATTTACTAATTTTATTCCATGTGATTGGGACTGCAGCAAATAGCCTTAGTCTTAGTAGCTTTGCTAAAAGAACAAACAAGAGTTCCTGTACTAATTTTGTTCCATCTTATTGTATTGCTATTTCTTGTTTTGTCCTTACATTTAAATGGTAATAACTGCTAGTATGTATAGGTACTTTTCATATATAAACTAATAAAATTAAGAAACAACAAAAAAGTCACAAGTTGATGTTTACACACTATTGTACATACAAGTTTGTGGGTATTAATTGCATACCAACGTACATATATCTGGTATTTTAAACCTAAATGACACTTTATGTAATACAGGGCGAAGGGGAACGATTGTTCTTGAGCACCCCTGTTGGGAAGAGCCCGCAACTCTTCTTGTTGCGCTATCTGTCCTGTCATGTTTAAATAAATAAAATAAATATGTATACATGGGCTTAACGACCACATCAGAGATTCCAAGGCTCAGACTTAGTCATCTCTAAATTAGAACTGTTTACCAGAGGGGTTACAACGAGTTATCAGCACTCGTCCCTCACACGACTACTCTTAACCTAATAGTGGGGTTAACTCTCATGGTTCTAATAACTCACAACTGAAAATGTGGAGCATGCTCATCTTTATGTCTCGCCTCGAAGTTTGGACCTTCCAATCCACAGTAGGCCACACCCGCTCCAAATCAACATACAGACCTACAATTAACAACCCACGTAGCCACAAATTAAACACCTATAAATTGAAAAAACATGTTAAGATGAATTGTACGTAAAAAAATATAATAAAGTCTGGAATAAATATTTATTTGGTAGCGTTCCGGTAACTTCACTACTGCTCTTCAGCCAATCTGATTGAGAAACACAATAGAAAACTAGTTCTTTAAAACAGTTGTTTTCAATGGGTAATTTTATTTTGTCTCCCTCTCTCTCTCTATATATATATATATTTATATATATATTATTTTTCTTCTTTTTCATCGAATGAGTTTTCATAATCCTTTTTTTTAGCTACAGTTATATTTCGTTTTGTTTGTTTTAGAGCTTGTTTGTTTGTTTGAAGCTACTCAATGGGCTATCTGTGCTCTGCCCACCACGGGTATCGAAACCCAGTTTCTAGCATTGTAACTCCGCAGACATACCGCTGTGCCATTGGGGGGAGGGGTTGTTTTAGAGCAAAGCCACGTTGGGCTATCTTCTGTGTCCACCGCGGGAAATCGAACCTCGGATTTTAGCATTGCAGCTCCGTAGACCTACCGTTGTCCCACTAGGGGGAGACAGTGATATTCTTCTGCGAACGTAACTTAATACGCACAAAAAAAAAACCAGCAATTATAAAATTATTTTTATGGAAAATTATATACTTATTGTACATATTACTTATCCATCCAAATATATACATATATTAATTTTCTTAAATACTACTTCTATTTTAATATTTTTTATTTGTAAATGATATATTGTAATTAGTTTTAAATTTATTTTTAATGAATTTAGTGAACAGTCTACTTTTTTTGAATAGTCGTTTCTCTATTTTTAATTAAGTTGGCGCGAACAAGGCAAAGCCTGATGGTTAGGGATCTGCAAGTTCGAATCTCATCACCGAACATTTTCGCTCTTTCAGCTGTGTGGTCGTTATAATGTGATGGTCAATCCCACTATTTGATTAGAGTAGTCCAAGAGTTGGCGGTTGGTGATATTGACTAGCGCCTTCCCCTAATCCATCACTTCTAAATTTGAAACGGCTTACAGAAATAGCCCTCCAGTTGCTTTGAGCGAAATTTAACAAAAAATAATAGACTTAAAAATTATTTAAACAATTGTTTCACAGTTACTTAATACGTAATATGTTTTTGTGCGTGATATTTATAATGAAGGACGCGGGCGTATTAGGAGTTAAGATTTGCGTTTCAGAATTTATGTTAAGTAGTTTCAGGATACGCGTTTCAGGTAGCATATATATATTTTCTTCTACAAAATGCAATCACTTCTATATATAAAATTTATCAATACAATACAAGGTTAAAGATCTGTGAAACTGGCACACAACAACACAGGTCATGGAAGACGCCATCTTGTATTGATACACATACACATTTATATCATATATATATATATTTATATGCTCTAATGTTTTTTCCAATTCAATGTGCTAACAAAATCCAATTTTGTTATCAAAAATTTCTTCTTCCAGGCATGATGCATTTTTGAATTAAAATAATTGTTCAGTAATTTAAACACACTCCCATTGTTTGTTTGTTGAATTGAGCGCAAAGCCACTGGATGGTTATTTGCGCTAACATTTGTCATAACAGAAATGCTTATTATTTTCTATAATGTTTACAAATATTTCTTATCAAAACAGAAAGCAATAACAACCTGTTAAATGTTTCTTGTAAGGAAATATGAAGTGTTAGCTAATTAGTTGCAAACTAGCAAGATACGTATCGCTGGCCAGTATATCTTACAAACGTTATAATTAATAGCAAATTTGGATCTACTAAATGCGGTATGTCATAACTTCTATCAGAAAGTGATACGTCAGCTATTACACATGATGGTTTGGTTTGTTTGGAAGTTCGCGCAAAGCTACACGAGGGTTATCTGCGCTAGCCGTCCTTAATTTAGCAGTGAAAGACTAGAGGGAAGGCACCTAGTCATCACCACCCACTGTCAACTCTTGGGCTACTCTTTTACCAACGAATAGTGGGATTGACCGTCATATTATAACGCCCCCACGGTTGAAAGGGCGAGCATGTTTTGTGAGACGGGGATTCGAACCTGCGACCCGCAGATTGTGAGTCGAGCCCCCTAACCACCTGGCCATGCCGGGCCTGCACATGATGGCAGCTGATTTTCGACAAAGTTAAAACTATTGGTAGTCGGATGGATTCCGTTATTGATCGAAATTCTATTTGTGGCTGTTTACAGGCTCTGTACTTGAAATGCTATTTTAACACTCTTCTCAACGGTAACTCCAAAATGGTTAGTTATGGGTGAATCGTTGAAATACTCCAAGTCTTATTGTTATATTTCATCGTACTTGCTACTCTATAACGGCAGCTTTGGCATTGCTTATTACACGTGACTGACATAAATAATGTGTAAGCTAAGATTGTGGACAATGTAATACAGTAACACTAATATGCTTCTGTATTAAGCTAAAATTCTTTTCTGGTTATAGTACACACCATATAAATCGAAGGCAACATTTGAAGTCCTGTTTATTTAATACTTCAAAGAATCGATTACTCTGTTAAGTAAAGCATCGTCGTAACGAGTTCTATTATTGAACGTTACGATAAAGAATTAATCCATTTCCTTAATAAACGTTTTA